ACTTCTTATGTTGCTAATAAAAACTTAAAAACATGACATCTAATGAATACTGTATGTCAAGTTTTTTGTTTAAATTAAGACACTTATTTCTGATTCTAACAGAGACAAATATACACAAGTTAGACTTTGCATTTAATCATAACCACAAAATGCCCAGAATTGACCTTAAAAAAAGAAATAGAGTCAAGATCAAGTTTCAGTCCTGCATTCAAGTACTTCTGAATTATTCACAAATATGCCAATGATCACAGATTGAATGTCTCACATGATGTCTGGCAAGACCTACATACATGTCCTCTGATTTTACCAAGAAATTAACTGACCACTGTAAACACTATGCCCACCTTTGGTCCTCAGCTCCACCCAGACCTGAGCCCCTCCCTGCCCAGGAGTCTCCCACAGAGAGCTGCCCCTCCCTCCCTCTGCCCAGACCCACCTGAGCGCCCATCTTCCTCACTTCCTCCCCCAGACCCTGCTGCTACCTAGACAGTGGAGGGTCCATGTGCTCCTCACTTCCTCCCCCAGACCCTGCTCCTCTAATGAACCTTGCAATCCTCTTTCTCCAGCACCTGCCTGCCCCCGTGTGTCCCCCTGGGATGGATGTGACTGGACACTTTCAATCACAAACACAGACCACCAGGAGAGATAGTAGGAGGTCTATGGTAGCTGTTCAGCAGCAAACCAGGCACTACAGGAAGAAATACTCCTTCCTAATTCTGCTTAGTTGGAAGGTTAGGAGAAAGTGCCAAGACTGGTTGCTTTTAAGGAGTTCAGTAGGTGAGGACAGAGGACTTGCTATGATGAAGCCCCAGAAAGAACGTAAAATGTAAAATTAGAAACAGAACAAAATTATTGACTTTTAAGAAGAGGGCCAAACTTGCAAGGCAGGATTGAACTGGAACAACTCGTTCTGAGGAAAAGACCAGGCCTATTCACCCCCCAGCTGCCCCTTCTACTCCAACCGGCCCATTCCCCCCCACCCCCCCGGCTGCCCCTTCTACTCCAACCGGCCCATTTCTCCCCCCCGCCCCCCCCCCGCTGCCCCTTCTACCGTAATGACTAGTTTTGAAAAAGCAAAACATCTGGCCCTGAAACCAGGAACTGCCCATTGCTTTGGGTCAATTTCTGGGCTGGGAAGGTGGCTCAGTGGTAGAGCGTTTGCCTTGCATGCATGAGGCCCTGGGTTCGATTCTTCAGCACCACATAAGCAGAAAAAGCCGCAAGTGGTGCTGTGGCTCAAGTGGTAGAGGGCTAACATTGAGCTGAAGAGCTGAGGGACAGTGCCCAGGCCCAGAGTTCAGGCCCACAAACGACAAAAAAAAGAAAAAGAAAGAACTTGTTACAGGCGTATTTGTGGTTTTAATTGTTTCAGGAATGTTTGTGATTTACATGCTTGCAAAATGACTGCTGAGTTCTGCTTCTGCACACCAGCTTGCTTGCATCTGCTCTAAAAGAATGCATTTTTTGCCTTTAAAAACCCTGAGCTATTTGAGTTCGAGGCTGCCCACTCCTGGTCAGCCCTGGCCCGTCAGTCCAATAAATTCCAGCTTTTATAATACTGGTCAGTGTCTGTGACTTTGTCCAGGGGATCAGTCCACTTCAGCTCCAGGCAAGAAGAAAAGCCTGAGGAGCGCCGGAGGTGTGAGCATATGCCGTGTTTACAAACGGATCAGGACTTGAGCCACACCACCACAGCACTCGGCTCAGGATGCTGTGGGGTGGAGCCAGGAGATGAGGGCCTCTGGGGACATTCAGCTCAGTGGTGCCCAAGACACCATCAACTGGACAAATTCTAGCAGTTAGTGAATTACAGATGAGCAAACTACTACTGTATAATCAAAGGAAACACTTACAAAGGTCAATTAACTCCTGTACGTCAAACCATGTGCCTTCAAAACCAAAGGTAAACACATCAACATTTTCTCTGAACCTTATGAATGTTTGAAGCATTCCCTTAGAAAATGTACAAGTAGCGGGGCGCTGGTGGCTCACACCTGTAATCCTAGCTACTCAGGAGGTTGAGATCTGAGGATTGCGGTTCAAAGCCAGCCCAGGCAGGAAAGTCTGTGAGACTTCTATCTCCAATAAACCACCAGAAAACCAGAATTGGCGCTGTAGCTCAAGTGGTAGAGTGCTCGCCTTGAGCTGAAGAGCTGAGGGACAGCGCCCAGGCCCAGAGTTCAGGCCCCACGACCGACAAAAAAAGAATGGAAGGAAGGAAGGAAGGAAGGAAGGAAGGAAGGAAGGAAGGAAGGAAGGGGTACAAGTAAAGCAAGAAGATGGAAGAGAAAATGAAAAACAACACGTAGTGTTGCATTGTTTTAATGCTGAGAAGAAAAATGGTGGGTGCTGTAAATACAAAACTGATCAAGCTTCTGTGCCTGCCTTAAATAGCTCACCAGCAACTGAGAGGAAACAGACAATTCAAAGACAGCAGTGGAGAGCTCAGCTGACCCAGGCCTGGCAGTGCCTGAGTACTCATAAATATCACTTGGTTCCAAGACTGAATGGGGAGGAGGGTGAATAATAATTGTTGGCAAATAGGAGGAGGATGGGTCTCAGCAAGGGGAGGGAGGGGAAAGGGCTCATTTTAATCTGCGCCTAAAGTTAGCTCACACAAGGGTGAGAGAAATATTAGCATAAAGTCAACTCTCCAAAATGTATTAAAAGCCATAAAATATTTTTTATGGAGTCTGGTCGTGGGGCCTGAACTCTGGGCCTGGGCACTGTCCCTCAGCTCTTCAGTTCAAGGCTAGCGCTCTACCACTTGAGCCACAGTGCCACTTCCAGTTTTTTTTCTTTTTGCTTATGTGGTGCTGAGGAATGGAACCCAGGGCCTCTGGCATGCAAGGCAAGCACTCTACCACTGAGCCACCTTCCCAGCCCTAAACATTTAAATTTTAAGATGACTACGTATTATTCAGATGTTTTGAGAATAATAATTATTTCTTTCTAAAGTGCTCTATGTAGTATGTTTTGACCTAGGCTGACTTCCAGTACGTGAAAGAAGTGTCTGGGCTACGTATCAGAGAGAATCAGAAGCGGATCCAACCAGGCAAAGGCGGAAACAACCCCAAGTGACCTGGATGGGAACACAAAACCCAGACCGTATGGGTAATGCCTGAAAAAGCCTAAGTGGCAGATGCTGAGTGACATATACTGGTCACAAAAGGACAAACATTAGTAATTTCCCCTAACCTATGGGATTCAATACATCTACGGAGAAAGAGAAGAGTGTGGCAGTTTCCATGGACTGGGGGAAGGCATCATTTAACGGCTCCCGACTTCCAGTTTTACAAGACAAAGAGATTCCTGAAGATTAGATGGTGGTGCCTGTTGCACAAAAACGTGAATGTAATTAATTTCTCTGCAATAATAAGTTATATACTTAAAAATGGCCAAGATATGAAGTTTCACGTTGTATATTATCACAATTAAAAGGGCTGTCTTAACCATAAAAGGCATGCATTAGATGGAGCAATGGCAGAGAGGACCTGTGTGAGCAGTTCCAGGGGAGAGTAGGGAAGCGATCAGGAAACAAGGACCTGGCCAGCTGCTAATCAAGAGGACCTCAGGCTACGGAGCAAGCGCTCAAAGGACTACTTTCCGGAAGAGCATGACTACTGGCCGCAGGCTTCTTCTCCAAGGCATAGGAAAGGAACATGAACTAAGACAAGAGTTTAAGAAATACAAGTTTGACAAGAGATGTACTTATTACCTTACATATATAACTATAGCCCCTCTGTACATCACCGTGGCAATAACAAAATAGGATATTAAAAAAAAAGAAGAAGAAAATACTCAAAAACCAAGGTGGAAATGGGGTTTTCTAAGATCAGATTTCAGTGCAAGTGATACAGATGAGAAGCCCTGGCGCCCCAATTAGGGCTGAGATTACGTCACACACCCCACAAAGTAGCTGCAAGCAACGCAGCTCAGAGGAGGGCTGGGTCCTCTGGACCTCTAGCTCCAGCTCTAGTTGTAGTCATTTGTCTACAGGAATCAACTTTCAGGGATATGCTGGATACACAGCCTTCCCGCTCCCGCCCCTCATGCTCAAGGTGGAAAAATACAGGTCTGTTTGTTGTACTCCCAAATAGTTTTCAATTTTCTAGCAAGTTACGAGAAGTCAGTAGAAGCCATGTGAATTGCAACTTGATCATCCTCTCAACTAGAAAACAGAAGCTATTATTACTACAGCTTCACAGGGAAAGGTCACAGCCAGGCATGGGAAAGACCGACCGTCCCTCTGGCTGGGCTGGGCTCCCTCCCCCAGCACACCCAGCTTCACACTATTTACTGACTGGCAGTCAAGTCTGGAACATCTGTGATCCTAAGCAAATACAAATCATATCCAACTTATACAAACACTTATTGGAGCTCGTCTCCAGAGTCCTGGACATCTGCAGTACTTGATGCTCACTCATTTGGCAAGAAATCAACCTTTCAGACAGCACTTCCAATGCTTGGATCTGAGAACTAATGCAGCATCTCCCTCTGGTCAACATAAGCAGTCCAGAGAGAAAACAAACTCCATCTACCTCCATATCAGCCAGAAGCTACACTCACTTGCAGATCACATCTTACCTACAGCGACTGTAAGAGACTGGAAAAACTGGTGAGTAGGAAAATTCCATCCAATGCCCAGTACATTAAAAAGAATATGGTTTTTGTGTATTCATCCTTCTAAATTCTTTTTGTCAGATGGAATGACAGATTTACATGTGATACTGAACTTTTCCAAGTTCAAAGAATAAGCTAGTTTTCTCTATAAATATTTTCAGTTTAATGAAGCATGGTTTTTTTCTGTGGGGCTGGCTTACACATTAAAATTAGGAGATTGCCTTTTTTTAAGAAATATATAACCCTACTAAAGGACAGTGTTACTTGTATGTAGATAGAAAGTTAGCGTCAGCTATGAGAAACGGTGAAGTGCACAGTCACAGCTGAGTTATGACGTCACCCCAGCGCACAGGCGGACAAATCGCTAAAATGCTGCAGGAAGAAAACAAAAAGCAGAGAAGTTTTAGGAGCAAACAGAGAACAACCCCACAAAAACTGAAACCAAATGCAAAACAATCCATGCAAAGAAGCGCCTGACATCTTCTCTGAAACACTGACTGCCCAGGCTACGGTGCCGACTGAACAGTAAGTCACAATTTATCTTCAAAGGAAAGAAACAGGGATCAAATAGGTCTGGTAGCTGCTGTGTATTCACTGAGAGGTTTCAGTTTTTGTCTCCTTGATTCTTAACTGGTGATTTCTTCCCTTTAGATTTGGCAAATACTAAGTGTTTTTTGTATTTGTTTTAATTTGTAGATATTTTAAGGAGAAATAATATAACAAATTTCATTCTACTGCTCACTTTTCTATAAACTGCACATTAAATTCCATAAAATCTTGACTAGTAATTTGAAAATGTTAACCCTGCTTCGAATCTATTTCATAATCCTCACTCCTTGAAAAAATTACTATTTTCTGAAAAGTTGTAGCACTGCAACCAAGGGAGGGCAGAGATACAGAAAACAGTGTGCCAACGGCAGCCACCCGGCATGGGAAGAAAACCACCGTGTAATATTTTGTTAGAATATAATTGAGAAGCTTCTCAAAACGTGACTCTAAGTGGAGAAACTGTAACCTCCTCACAGACGTGTGCTGTGGATCTTTACCATCTGTAGCCGGAGAGACTACACTAGTGGCTCCTCTCTCTCGGTCTGTCCTGGCTCAGGCCACACACCACCCTGCTCTTCAGGGCCGTAAGACTCAGCACATGCTCTCAAGGTTGCCTGGGAAAGAAAACTCAGAGGAAAATTATGGTCTGGAAATAAACAAAAAAGGACCTATTTTACCAGGGTTGTTGTTGTTGTTGTTGTGTGTTCCCTCTGATACCGATGCAGACAAGATTTTTTTTTTGTATTTGTGTGATTTTACCCAATAACATATCATAGAAATTGCCACTTGGAGGCTGGGCACCGGTGGCTCACTGGAAGCTCATATCTGGAGGACCATAGTGTGGAACCAGCCCAGGCAGAAAACTCTCCAGGACTGGAAGCATGGCTCCAGTGGTGGAGCAAGAAGCAGGAGCACAAGGCCTAGGCTCAAGCCCAAGTAGCTGGCAAAAAAAAAAAAAAAAGAAGAAAGGAAAAAAATGAAACAGACATTTGGGAGCACTGATATTCTCAGCAGTTTTATCACCTGATCTAAGAAAATAGATGGCCAAGCTCTTTTTGCCTTTTGGCTAACACCATGGGCAGAAAAGTTCAAAGATACAATCTCAAAGGTAAACCCAGAAGCTAGGGGATGTGGAAAAAGCCACTGATGATGTTTTGTATAATTTTTTCTGAGGTAGTTTTAATGAACAATCCTGGGTTCAGCCTCCATTTCTGAAGTCCTGGCACAGGCATTTCACTTCACAGGACGCTTCTCAGACTTCAAGTCCAGTCCTTCCTCCTTTCCAACCTCACTTCTGACTTAGGATGACTGTGTCCAATAAAACATTTACACACACACACAGAGCTCCGGGGCTGCACCGGACCGTAGCCCTTGGCTGCATGTTTACACAACAATGGCAAGAGCAGTCTTATTGGGACGCAGACGTTTACAGAGGCAATCCAGCATTATGGGGAAAGGAGGCCTGTTTTGAAGATAAACAGCTAAAACAGAATTTGTTGTAACCTTGAGCTATAATTTTTTTTCTTGAGCTTTTACCTCTTTCACCCTCATCTGGTCCTAACCCTTATGTTAAAAAAGTGAGACACAACAGTGCCTGGCACACAGCAGCTATATGGAAAGCTGAACTCCCTCCCACCGCAGCTAAACTTACAAATCACAACAAAACCCACAGGGAACTGCTTGAACTGTAATCCAACACAAATATGTAACAAAAGTCACAGCCAAGCAAACTGGAATACTTAGTTCCCTTTACTTATGTTGTATTTCTTACTATTGCCATAATTATGTAAACAACCAGCCAAGGGCTAATAGTCCTGCACCTCTGTGGACCTCCTGGTATTCACAGCAAGAATTTCCCAAGTCATATACCTAAAAGTTAGAATGCTCAGCTATAGGGTGAATAAGTGTTCATTGTTACCAAGCATTTCCAATTTGTCTTCTAGTGTGATACGCTCTAGATACAACGAGTTGTGGTCCATAGATGGACTGGAGGTTCGGCTCAGAAATAGAATACCTGCTTTGCAGAGTGAAAGGTCCCAAGTTCAAAAATTAGTACTGCCAAAAAAGATTTCATATGGCAAGGCACTTTTTATAAAGGAATACAAATGCATATGGATTGATAACATTTGTTGTAAAAGGGAGGAAAAAAATAACAAAACAGGAGAAGGCAGGAGTAGCTATAGGAGTGTGTCTGGGGCCAGAAGAACAGGGGTGGAAAGCAGAAGGGGCGGGGGGGGCTCGGAAAACAGAAGGGGGGGGTGGAAAGCAGAAGGGGCGGGGGGGGCTCGGAAAGCAGAAGGGGGGGTGGAAAGCAGAAGGGGTGGGGATGGGAGGGTCTCACTCTGAGTCAGGCCTGCAAATGTCATATGGTTCATTAAGAAGAAAAACGATTCCAAAGCAATCAGCACTGTCCGTGTCTGCCACAGTAGTTTCTGGCGACGGGTGGCTGTTTCTGTAGAATGTGAGGGCTATGAAAGGGAAGACAAGACTTGGGACAGCTTTCAGGTAGCGGGGGGTGGGGCAGTAGTCTAGCTCAGCTGGGGTGTGCAAACACTTTCTTGTAAAACAACCAGCTCCTTCACCTCTATGGCTGCTGGGGCCTGGAAGCGCCACATTCAGGGCAAACTAATGTGATGTGTCAGACAATGAATTCAGAAATCTTCCTGACACACTTACAGTGCCAAACATGTACATGTGCATACATGGACACCAATAATACCGTACATTTATGTGCTCAAATATGGATGCATAAGCGCAATATACAGTAGCCCATGAGTACATGTGTGCATGCATGCACACACATGTGTGTACACACACACACTGTACTCCCTTTCATTGAATCATTTTGGACTATGATGCAGGTAATTCAAACTCTTCCCTGACCATACTATTACTACTCCTAGGTTCCTGTTAATTCAGTCACAGTTAATCTGCCTCTTTTGATAAGGGACTTTACCTTCCTATTCACCATGTGTGGTTTTTCATGGCACACTATTTTTTTTTTTCAAGAGTCTAGATATTGAAAAAAAACCAGCCTGGCGGTTTTGCGGGCTACTCCTCATGCTGAATTTGTCTGCGGCTTGCATAGGTGGCTGTGTGTGTCTGCATCCTGGCAGGGGCCACCCAGTGCCAGGTGATCCCATTACTGACAAGTGTGGTCACTCAGGGGCCACCAGAGACCCCTCTGAAAAGGCTCTAAAGGACATGGAGGGTCTGCTTTCAGACTACAACTGTTCACCTGAAGGTTTGGACAAGCACACAATTATCGCTGCCTGTATCAGTTATTACACTGACATTGCACAATGAGGACTTCCTAATTCTACTGTTCCTTCTGTCTGTACTAGCTGGTATTCCACCAAAACACAAAAGCACACAAAAAAAAAACCAGCTTTCCCGTCTTCAGCCTCCTTTTAATTTGTAGGCACAGTAATACTATGCCTTGGCTCTGGACTTGTATTATGTTCATCAATTAGGCATTCTTGTTGATGCCCAAACTACCCCCGTGTTAAAGAGCCAGAGTCAGCTTCATTTTGTAACTTCCCCACTGATCTGACCACAAGACATCACCTTTATTCACGCCTGATTTGAAATCAGTCATTTCTGCTAGAAGACCTAGTTTCTTTTAGTAGGAAGGGTTGTGTAGGAACAAAAAGAGTCCCATGGTCCTGGGAGGCTCACTGCTCCTCCGCCTGCCAGGGGTCTCTCTTGTGTGTGTGTGCCTGGCTATGTGCGTGGGGGTCGGGTCACAGCTGTGGAGGTGCTGCTACTTCTGATTTATAGGTTTTTATTTTTTACCCTGTTTGGGGTAAGATTATGGACTTAGAACAGGTTTGTATCTTGAAGAGAAGTTGCCTCTAGACAGAGGTACTAAAAATACACAAGAAAAGCAACATAATTTAAGGAACACAATAAGGAGGAAGTAGGTGCAGGCTACACCCCCAACACTCTTGACTCTGCTGCACATGCGGGTGCACGCACACACACATGCACACATGCACACATGTGCACACACACATACACACACACACATAAGATACTGGTCCTGGCCAGTATGAGAAGGCAACTGGGGAACCACATACAAAAGCTGGTTGAGAAAGTATTTGGGAATCACTTTTGTGCATTATTTCTACTTTCACTGAAAGTTCTAGATATTTATATTCTTTTCCCTCAGCTTTACAGCCTGAATCTTAGACAAGCAGGCAGACGGCGGCAGCGGCTTAGCTGTCGTTTTCTCATAAATGGAAATACCCAATCAGTACAGCCAAGCAGTAGTACCCACTCATGGCCTAGGCACCACACCAGGGAGATCCCAGGGCTTCCTGCCTAACTGAGAGGTATGAACAGCAGCTCAGCGAGGGCAGAAGAGGTCAGGACCCGTGCCCCTGCCCAGCCCGATATTCCAAAGCACTGCTGCAGAAGTACAGGCTGGGAGAGATTCAGGGATTCAGAGCAGCCTTGTTACCCTGGTTCCAGAAAGAGAAAGGCATCTGTTCCCCAAACCCTGAAGGCAGGGGTTTACTGAGAGCTCTGTGCAAGGGTCTCCGACACCCTGGGTGCAGACTTTCAGGGTAAGTAAGCCTACCCAGGAGAAGGCCTGCGAGACAGCGTTCCGGAGGCAGCAGCCCAGTCACTCCAAACCCGGTATTTCCACTGAGTTACACACTGCCAGGCACCAAGCACTTGATGCTTCCAGAAGTGGAACAACCCTTCTTAATTACACAGGTAAAAAATGATACATAGGAGCATCTGGCACTGATCACAATATCAAACCCATTATGAAAGTAAGCCATTTACTTCTAACCAAAGCCACCTGCATCCAGCATGCCTGCTTCAAGTCACTGCACTCACTGCCTGAACACTGTTCCAACCAAGTAGCACACAGAGCCCCTTGGTGTCCCCGAACTCCAGCACACAGGTTTTAAATGCTGATGAAGTACCCTTCACTTACAGCCTGGCACCAAAATAGGCAGTCAAATTCTCTTCTTGAATCAGATCAATAGGAAGCACACCCACAGTTAAGGAGCAGTTCCCATGGTTATCAATTTGGTCCAGAGACAGCGAGATGGAGTAATACTGACACCTACTGGACAGAGGCCAGACAGCTCCTAAACACCACCCACAAGGAAGTAGAACCAGAAACAGGTGAAAGGTCATCACAGGTACACTCACTCTCAAGTCTTGGACAGAAGGCAGTCAAGAAAGGTGGAGTTTACACTTCAGCGGAAGAAGTTCTTACTGGTCTAGAAAAACATGCAAATACTTCTTAATGGTCTACAACTTAAGTCTAGAAAAACATGCAAATACTTCCAAATGAGAACTAATTAGCACAGCTCAAGGTGTGTGACTCTGATATTCGACATTCATCCCACTGTAAGTTATGCTAATGTATATATATATGTGTGTGTGTGTGTGTGTGTGTATACATAGTGTATAGATATGTATATGTGTGTGTAGATAGATAGATAGATAGATAGATAGATAGATAGATAGATAGATAGATGGATGGATGGCAGTTAGGGGTCATGTTAGGCTGACTGTGAGTTCACACCTGCAGCCAGAGAACACCAGCCAAAGGTGAGGAACCACAGGCTCTTGCCGGTTGTCCTCACACCAATGGCCTCACACCTCATTCCTCCTGCAGCTACAGCCTCGCCACTTAACGCTTACTGTTGTTCGGTTTCATTTCTATCACCAGTGGATCTGTTCCATGTTTTTCCTTGGACACCCACCAGACAGAGGACAGGAAAGTGAATCAAATCAAAGCCACAGAGACGGCACAGGATTGGGAAAGAACAGGGAGAATGATGGGAGGGGACACTTAGGTGCTGTAGGCACAACCTGACCAGTAGGACTGAAACCTCTTTGCACAATTATGTAACAAAAATAATTTTTAAGCCAAAAATACATCCATTTAAAATCCTTTTAGATACTAGAAAAGGAAATATCTCTAGGGGGTCCTAGGGGAAAACTGGAGAAATTAAAGGTGTCTATCCAATACCTCACTGGACTTTAAGACCCACATCCAGAAGATAGATAGATAGATAGATAGATAGATAGATAGATAGATAGATAGATAGATAGATAGATAGATAGATAGATGATAGATAGATAGATGATAGATAGATAGATAGATAGATAGATAGATAGATAGATAGATAGATAGATAGATAGATAGATGCATCCCCTGGAAGAATAACAGCTGACTGACTTCCAAAGACAAGACTCAGAAAAACGCTGCGGAGCGGTGCATGTCCAGACTCTGGCACAGAAGACACGCTACCCTGTGTTCTCTAGGGAATGGGGGATATGTATTCCCCAACAAAAATAGTCTGGTACTCATGTAACTAACTTCATTTTCTTCTGTAAAACAGAACACTTAATAACGAAAACCTCAGACACTTTTAGGTTGAGAAACACTCACTAGATGAAACTGCTTCACTGAAAGGAGACCTAACTTACGCAACAACAACTTAAAGGTAATTAAAGAATTTTATCAGGAGCTTTCACCAAAATACCCTAAAGAAATAATCTCTTCTTCAGAGAAGAATTATGCCTACAGTTAGGATCTACATAAAAGAGGTCACTCTGCATAAATACACAGAAAATGAGAGATAAACTCAGACCTAAGCATACTTTTCTTGAGATGAGTGTATTGCTGAGGTGACCAGTGCTTTGGAAAGGGCCTGTATTGACCAAGTTCTGTGCACACAGAGCACCCTGAAGCTAATAAAGTTTGCAGTTTGCAGTTTTCCCTGCCTTGGTTTACAAAGCAGCAGCACCAGGAAGAAAAGACAGCCTTCCCCATCAGCAGGTTCTCAAACCATTCTGTCCCTGAAACAGACACACTCACCCGAGTGACCTCAACTCTGCCAAACAGCAACCTAGAGTTTGGGGAAAGACCCAAGCAAACCACTGCACTGCCCACACACCACCCAACTTCTACAAGCTGAACTGGGTCAAGAAATCCCCTCCAATCAAACCCAAAAGGAGGATGGAGAAGCTAATGCCTGGGGTGCGGCCCCGAGGCGTGGTCCACACCCTTAGGGGTGCGCACGGGCCTCACACTGGAGCAAGCACACCACAGCTCAACATGTTTAAGTCCCAAGACACTGACGGTACTGCTATTTCACAAGGAAAGGAGCTGTCTGTCTCATGACACTATTTCTAAATATAGAAATAATTATTTCTAAAAGAAAGGGAACTGGCTCTCACTAAATCATTTCTAGGGAATTCATTCTTTCACTGCGTACTACGTTGTTTATCTCCTCATCAAAATAATGTCTGGGTTTGATTTTGTAACCTCGCTGCTCAGTGAGTGACAAGGCCGAGAGCGCTGCCACAATGCAGGAGGCGGTGCCCAGCCCAGGACCGGAGTGAGACCCGGAGCACACAGTTCACCCTGGGTTCGGACCCCACTAGAAGGGAGCCGCTCACTCTCCATCACAGAGAACAGCCTGAGTGCCAAGTCCACACGCTGACGTCTTCCCCCCCCCCACCCCGCACTCCGGGGAGGGGCAGCCTCGGGAGGTCGGAGGTCACTGGGGCAAGCCCTCCCGCAGACACTGCAGGGCCCACACACACCCCTCCCACCTATGGCCTGGATGTGAGCAGTTCTGTCCTATCACCTTGCTGCTCTGAGTGCTGACCTTACCTCAAGCCCGACAATCATGGCCTGGAATCCCCCAAACGAAGTCAAAACCATCTTTTTCTCTTTGTAGGATGAGTGTCATTAGCATTTTGTTATGCTGTCAGACATAAAAAGAGAATTAGAAAAGTAATTCAATCTAAAGCAAGATCGAAGGCCATACGAGACTGAGAGAGAAGCGAATTGACCGTGTGGGGAGCCAGCATGGCGGGCTGATGGAAGTTGGCGGGGAGGAAGTGCTCAGGACAGGCTGAATGCAGGCACTCACGCGGGGAAGCTCTGAGGGATGCGACCCTCGCTTCCTGGGCATGAGAAATGCAGAGAGAGCCGACAAGGGGAGCGTCCCCTACCTCCACCAGCCCCTTCCCAGGAGTCTGGGCCAAGTGCAGGAATTCAAGGCTGGTGTTTCCAGAGAGCACAGTAAATATTCTCAACATCACTCTAGGACCATCATGCTAACAAAACGAGGTCTGCAGGGGAGGCCTCTAAAGGAAGGGGCACTGAAGGGGGACTCCAGGGGAGGGAGTTGGCCTGCCAGAGCGGTCAATCAGAGCTCTGCACGGGCGGGAGGCGGAGGAGGGCCGCTGCTCAATGCGATCAGGGCGTGCCCTGGGCTGAGCACAGGCACTGAGTGAGAAGCAAGCAGCTGCATGCTCTCTCTGCCCTGGACTGGTACTTCTGACATTCACGAAGCCTGTAAAGGCTGTCCTGACAACTCAGACTGAAGAGCTGCCCAAAATGTGATTCTGAACTTTCTACAATCCATATTCTCACAAGTAAAATCTACTGAAATTAACACTGCATATTTTGTTTAATAAACTATTCTCTTCCTGTCCTTTTCTTGGCGGTACCCGTCGGGGCCTAGTAAGCGCTGTACTACTGGAGTCAGCCCACAAGCCTTTAGCTCTTTTATAGTCTTATTGTTTGTTTGTTTGGTGTGTTGTTCAGATAAGCTCTCTTACTTTAGGATCCTTCTATCTCTGCCTCCCAAAACAGGTAGGATTACAGGTGTATATCACCATGTCTGGCCTCAATGAAATATCTAAAAAAAACCAAAAAACTTGTCATTTCAGCATGTAATCAATATTACATTCTTTTTTTTATATTAAGCAAGCAAGATCAACTGTATCTTCTAATATTTTTAGCACTACCCATACTTGAAATGCTCCAGAGTCGCACAGAGAAAGAGCCATCATAGGGGACAGTGTGAAGTTTTAGAACATTCTGTGGAAAGCATTTCTCAGCATTTTCACATGATTAATCATTTGTCTTTGTTTTCTAGTCATAAAAATAATGCAATCAGATTTTCCCAAAAGTCCCCATAATCTCTTAATAAAAACAGCAGTTAGTTAGCATGCGGATACACATGCCTGTAAGACACTGTCTAGGTATAAAATATATGCAGAGTAGGCCTAGCTCAACAGCTCTTAAAAAGTAGGTACTATTCAGATCCATCTTATGAATACATGTAAAATTAATTTGATAAAAAAACTAATACATTAAAGAACTTCTGAATGAAATAGATTAATGTTTTACAATTGCCAATTTATTCAAATTACTACTTCCTGTAACTATGGCATTTAGAGGAAAACGTTATCGTTTTAGGGAAATACTACTCTCTTAAACATTGTCACACTACCCTGTATTCCTCTACTGTTTCCTTACTGTCCTATGTCTACTCTGTTCTTCCCTTTTCATCCCAAGTGGGAAACGAAGGAATACAAGACAGCGGAGGGAGCGAAAGTAGGAAAGAGAGGAGGTAGAAAAGAGAGGAGGAAAGGCGGCTTGAAGAAGGGAGGAGGGCATAACTTGTTGGATTTGGTTGTATTTACTGCCCTTCCCTTTATTGCTTAGAAAATGGTGTGACACCAGGACAGGGACCTGGCCTGGGAAGTGTCCTCCTTGTCACTAACAGGCATGCCTCTCTTTCCAGGCCTGACAAGATGACCAACTCCACCACCACCGGGCCTCCGGAGGAGACCTGCCCCAGAAACACCCTCATCACCCAGCAGATCATCCCTGTGCTGTACTGCGTGGTCTTTGTGGTGGGGGCCATCCTCAATGGGGGGTCAGGGTGGCTGTTCTTCTATGTGCCCAGCTCCAAGAGTTTCATCGTCTATCTCAAGAACATTCTTGTTGCCGACTTTCTGATGGGCCTGACTTTCCCTTTCAAGATCCTGGGAGACTCGGGCCTTGGCCCCCGGCAGCTAAACGTGTTTGTGTGTCGAGTCTCCGCGGTGCTTTTCTATGTCAACATGTATGTCAGCATTGTGTTCTTTGGGCTCATCAGCTTTGACAGGTATTACAAAATTATGAAGCCCCTCTGGATCTCTTCCATCCAATCAGTGAACTCCAGCAAACTGCTGTCGGTGGTGGTGTGGATGCTCATGCTCCTCCTCGCTGTTCCCAACATCATTCTGACCAACCAGAGTGTGAGCAATGACACAAAAATACACTGCATGCAACTCAAAAATGAACTAGGACGAAAGTGGCACAAAGCCTCAAACTACATCTTCGTGGGCATCTTCTGGGCTGTGTTTCTCCTGCTTGTCATTTTCTATGCTGCTATCACAAGGAAAATCTTTAAGTCTCATCTTAAGTCCAGAAAAAACTCTACTTCAGTCAAAAGGAAATCTAGCCGCAACATATTCAGCATCGTGTTTGTATTTTTTGTCTGCTTTGTACCGTATCACATTGCCAGAATCCCCTACACACAGAGCCAGACAGAAGCTCATTACAGCTGCCAGTCAAAAGAGATCTTGCTGTACGTGAAAGAGTTCACTCTGCTACTCTCTGCTGCAAATATATGTCTGGACCCCATTATTTACTTCTTCTTATGCCAGCCATTCAGAGAGATCTTACATAAAAAGCTGCTCATCTCACTAAAAGCCCACAATGACCAAGACACTTCCAAAACCAAAAGAGGAACTACAACTCTTGAAAGTACAGACACCCTGTGAACTCCCCTACGCTCTCCCATATAAAGTCAATGTGTGTGTTGACTGCACAGTAATGGAGTTAAGAAATAAATATGCCTGTGATAATTAACACGTCTGATATTATCCAATATTAATTTTCAGTATCAAATATACTTAGTACTGTAATATATTTAAGTACTGCAAGGTGCAAATTTAAGTGCTCAGACTTTTTGTAACATCCCATCAAAAAAACCACCAGCAGATTTTTCTAACACTGATCTTTATTTTTCTTACTAGTAAAAAATATATCCAATTATTCAATTCTATTCCATGAAAATAAATTTAAATTTATGACAACTAGTCTGTTTAGTTAAAGTAAAACAAAATAGTAAATAATAAAGACAAGAAGAAATCAAAGACTAATGATGTAGGCGCCTTCTTTCTCTGAAGACAGGTAGCTAGTAAGATATATGATCCTTTTAAACAGGTCCTTAAAGACTAATTTACAAGTAGGCAGACTCTGATAAGGGTTGTTTGTATTGAAAAAGTTACAGTTTCCCTGACTGGAAACAAGGTAAGAAGGTACCAATAAAATTACTTATTACTTATTACTGGGCGCCAGCGGCTCACACCTGTAATCCTAGCTACTCAAGGAGCTGAGATCTTAGGATCACGGTTCAAAGCCAGCCCAGGCAAGGAAAGTCCATGACCCTCTTATCTCCAATAAACCATTAGAAAACCGGAAGTGGTGCTGTGGCTCAAGCAGTAGAGCACTGGCCTTGAGCTGAAGAGCTGAGGGACAGCACTCAAGCCCAGAGTTCAAGCCCCACGACCGACCAAAAAAAAAAAAAATCACTTATGAGACCCATACTCTTTGCTGATTTATCTCAAAGAAAAGCAAACATAAATAATATACTTGGCAATAAGACATGATTGTTTTCTAAGAGCATTGGGAAGATATTAAATATGTGTTAAATATATCTCATAGACAGTTATTAAAGGAAACAAACTCTGGTATTAGAATATTATTAAATTAACTGTATACAAAAAAACAAAAACCAGAGCATGACGGACATCCTTGGCAAACAAACCTTGTAATGCCTGTTAATCAAATGCACTTGTAAAAGAACAACCTGCCCGTGCTTACCCTTCACAACTGCCACAGAGTGGGTTAAACTGCCCACCGTGCCCCGACAGAAATGAAAGCGAAGGCAGCAGAGGAGCCCTGGCAGTGCCTGGGCTGTCTGGGCTGTCTCCTGGAACTCTGCTTTAAAGCCAAACATCCACTTTCCTTGACCGACATCGAATGCCTCTGGCCAGCACTGTAAAGCAGTCTACCTTCGTGGTGTGACAGCAAGGGCTTTCAGAAAACGGCATGTGATGTGCATGGGATAACATGAACTATATTAGTCCTTGAAGGTCCAGAGCAACAACTTAAAACTAAAGTGGGAAAGTACCAGGAATAACAGGCTAACCCAACCCCGTCTACAGGGGACCCGTAACAGCACAGGCAGGCAGCAAGGGCTGCTCTAGTCACCGGCAGACGACACTACAGCTGGCCTACAGGTTCATGCTCAACTCCGTTGTGCAGCTCAATGCAGTTCAGATGCCTGCAGTGGTAGGAAAACAGTGAACGGACAGCTCGGGCCTCATCAAGAGAGGCCCACAGGCTCTTGGCTCTCATCAGTGCTTCCTGGGGTCATAAAGCCTCTGAAACACTGCATCCATCCGCAGCTTACAAGAAGGTATACCTCTGCCGACTATGACATTACAACAGGGCTCTGCAACCTGAGGAAAGAACTCAAGTATGTGGCTAAAAGTAGCTTATGGACACAACCCAAAGTCTCCTGGATTGAGAAATTAAGAAAGGGCTTGGTTAAACAAAATACAACATGCTAAAAAAATATTAGTAGGGACAATATGGGGGACATGCCTGGTTACCTACACCCGCTCCCTAAAGGAAGAATGATTCAGTATCCCTATGAAAAGATTCACTTCCCTTTTCCCAAGAGACAGAAAGCACATCAAGAGCTGGGGCACTGCACCCCACGTCTGCAGTCCAGACACATAACCTGTGGTCTTAGCAGAGCTTCAAGAACAGGTGCTTGTACTTGTTAATTCTGTCTATAACCATGATGTAAACACAAACATGCCTACCTAAAATAAAGAGAAACTTGGCAAAAAAAAATTATGCTAATTTTCCTTTCGATCTCACTGAAACCATTCATCATTCGTCTGCCTAGTAAGTCTCTCCCTCAGCCTCTCCCTGCCTCTGGCCCTGCCTCGCCCTCACCCCCACCCCGGAACGGAGGCTCTGACCCTAACTTCTCACTGACCGAAAGTGTCTTTTCTAAACATCCATGTGTGCTTCAATGAGTCCTGTCCACAACAAGCACACAAACCTTAGATGCCTGTCTTCACAGTAACACTGGTAAAGTAAACATGAAATACAAAGCTTAGAAAACAGCTTCCCACTACTTTATAGATAAATACACACTAAAAAAAATGGCAATATCGAACACTTGATGAGTTTAGAAAAATGCCAGGATATCTGAAACAAATCACCACTACCATCAACACCCTTATTCCTTTCGAATGTCCTTTTAACTCTCCCTAAATCCCTTCTAATCAATTTTCATCTATTGTGTTGAAAGATTTTTTGTTTTATAAAGCTAATAACAGCCAGCACCAATGGCTCACATCTGTACTTCTAGCTACTGAGAAGGCTGTGTTATGAAGATCATAGTTTGAAACTAGCCTAGGCAGGAAATTTCATGAGATTCTTATCTCCAAAACGTCAGAAGTGGAGCTGTGGCTCAAGTGGTAGAGCACCGGCCTTCGGGGGGAGGGGGGCACGGAAGGGAGATGAGAGACAGCACCCAGGCCCTAAGTTAAAGCCCTAGTACTGGTACACGGCACACAGACACAGATAATAACAAGGAATCTGACTGAGTTCTAAGGAGGTCTCTTCTGATTTTATTCTTCTCATCTGGAAAACTAACAAGAAATTATTAGGTTAAAAAAAAAGAAAAGAAAAGAAATCAGTGTCCTTTCAAACCATGAAGCAGAAGAAGAAACCAGAACCAGGCAGCAGCTTCCAGCTCGCAGATGAATCAACGTTTCCTATCTAGAAATAAGGCAGTCTTAACAGCCGGCCTCACACAGTCTGTGACAGGACCCAGCAGCTCCTTCACAGACAGGTGCTGAGACAGGCTCCATCCAGACACTCACCCCAACCACACAACTTAAATCCACACTGCGTATGATCTAAATCAATTTCTAGATACCTGTTTTAACTCCCTAAGCAGTTTGAATCAAATGAGAAATACTTTCTGCAGGTCTGTTTTACAACCTGGAAAACAAATGCAAGTTTTTGCTGGGCACCAATATCTGTAGTCCTCAGGAGACTGAGATCTGAGGACTGCGGTTCAAAGCCAGCCTGGGCAGGAACATCCTCAAGACACTTTTCTCCAATGAACCACCAGAAAACTGGAAGTGGAGTTGTGGCTCACATGGTAGCACGCTAGCCTTGAGCAAAAAGAGCTGAGGTCCAGTGCCCAGGCCCAGAGCCCTGTGACTGACAAAAAACTAAAACAAAAAACCCAAACCTTTAAATTATAGGCAAAGGATAGTTATATTTAAGGTGTTATATGTAAGCATAGAAAAAGATTCAAATGCAAAAACCAAAAAGAGTTAACAGCTGGTACCTTTCTATATAATAATGTTCCTTCATTCCTATTTCAATTTATTGTGCAATGAACAAAAAAGAATACTGAGGAATAAGATATACCCTTTACCAGGCTGTTAATCTTGTTTTAAAAGATTGATAAAAAATTAACTGATATCTTAGCAGGGCTACAACAATAGTTTAACTTTAATTTTAAAATGCTAATGAGTGTCTATACATCCTGAAGAAGCATTCGCTGAAATACCTGTAACTGTAATGCAATCTCTCCCAAGGCATAGACACATGTCATCTTTTAAAACTATCATGACACAAAACTCATCTTACTTTAAGAAAAAAGGCAAAGCCCTACATTGGGTAAATGGGATAAAAGTACCTCCCCTCTAGAAAATACTGGCAAATATTAATTAAGAAAGATAAAATTCTTTTAAAAAACTTGTTGAGGATACTTTCATACAGTTATTTAAATGCCTTGCAAACCACAGTTTCAACTACGTCAAAGTACAACATTTTAAACCACACAAAGGAAAGGAAACTTCTAGTACAGCCGCCACTCTGCAGCATGCTGCTCTTAGAGTGTCTCAGGACGCAGAGCTAGGCTCCTCCGGCTGAGAAGACCTCAGGTATGTCATTTTAAGTAGCTAATCTCAAATGTTTTCTCACACTAGGGAAGCTCATGATTTTCAGTGCTACGTAGCAAAAGCCAACATGTAATAAGGTTAATATCTAAGACAGCACAAATTATTAAATGATAAGTAGGTCTTAGCTGTGAAGTACTGCCATTTTCTGCTATCTTATGGCCCCATTGGGCTCAAAAAAAAAAAAGTTCAAATCTGACTAATTATCCAGGCAAGCATAACTCTTTAGTAACTCAGTTTTATAACCAGATGGGTAAAGGCTACGTTGTAGTTCTCCATAACAGGTTCGAAAGGTCTTAAACAGACTTTCTTCTACAAATATTACAACAGATAATTTCAAAAACTTTTTTATAACTCCCATCAAAGGGGCAGGAAAGGTGGCTCCATGGTAAAGTGCTCACCTAGCATGCATGAAGCCTGGGGCTCAGTACCACATACACAGAAAAAGTCAGATATGGTGCTGTGGCTCAAGTGGTAGAGTGCTAGCCTTGAGCAGAAGCAGCTCAGGGACAATGTCCAGGTCCTGAGTTCAAGCCCCAGGACTGGCAAACAACAACAACAAAAACAAACAAAACAAAAACTCCCACAGAAAATTTAAGAGTTTGTTTGTAAGAAGAATTGTTTTGATTTTGTTTTTTCCTAAGCAATAGGCACTCTATGGGAAATAAGATACTTAAAATCTTTTCTCGTTTTGTTAGAATACCTCTGAGGACATCTAACTTACACTGGCTAGTAACTATTTGGCAAAGAATAAATCAAGCACTTAGTTCTTAAATTTGTGATTGAGATTAAGGGATATTATTACAGTATAACTTTTTCACTAGACATGATCAAAAAATGTAAATAAGCTTTCTTATTGTAACCTAAATGGAATTTCATAAACATATGAAGCACTTAATAATTTGTAAGCATGATTGAATGAAGTTATACTGCAATTATTTTACATAACTTACCTAATGAATATATTGTCAAATCTACTTACAGAGAATATGAATCAACCAAAACTAATTATCTTATCAAGTAAGTCATTATGAGACTATATAAGATAATTGTGCAAGCAAAGGAGCACTTAGAGGAACACATTATCACATTGCTATTATTAGATAACATTTGAAACAAAAGAGCTTAAGTCAAAAATCCTACAACGTTAAAGTTCAAATAAGCAAAGGTGAGGATGTGATCAATGTACAGAAAAGTAGGCTCAAAATTCTAAGATACAAATATATAAGTAACTACAAAAGCCAAGAGTCATACAGTCAGAGCAACCTGTAACCGTATTTGGAAACAAAGAACTCAGGACGGTAGACAGATTTCAACAATAGGAAAGACAGGGTAGAAAGCATGAAAGTGATCAAGAACAGATTCTAATCTTTTTCAAACATGAAAAATTCTGAGCAATCACCAGCATGGAACCTCAGGCTCCTCGAGTGAAGAATGGACAGACAGTATCATTAAAGGTTTATCTACCATCACAGTCCCAGGCTTCACACACTGATCACAGACAGTAAAGACCCCACCAGTCTTCAGCAGAAATTCAGGCTGAGGTGCAGGAAGCAACCCAGTTCTGGATGGCGTGTGGCTTGCACAGCAGGCCCTGGCTGGCTCAGCCCCACACCAGTAACAGACCAAGACAGTGGGGAGAGCAGGAAGAAACTACAGAACTTTGAAAACAAAGTCTAAATATACAGGCTAAAATTAAATTCAGCTTTTAGACACATAAAGATGAAACATCAAAATACATCAACAGCTTCCCTCTTTGTAATAGCACTTACAGATAACAATGTTTCAATTTGTTTACATGGAAACTGTTTAGAAGCCCTGGAGAAAGGCCTGGCTGCACCCTTGAACCCATTACTGTGAGTGCTGCCTGTGGCTTCTGAGGAGATGGCTGGGCTGGAGTCCTGGCTCTGTCACTTCCAGCTGTACAGGCCAAGGGACCTAACCTCACTGTGCTTCCGTTTTTCATCTGCGAAAGCACAGCTTAGAACAAGATGATATATGTATAACGCAGTCACTGGACATAGAGTGCTTAACGACTGCTACTGTGTACAGGGGGGCTTTATTCATGGACCTACAGCCCTGACTCAATGAGGAGGGGCTAAGACATGGAACTTTTAAGTGACACTTACATTTAGAATGTTTTATGTTCATCTGCCCTACTAATCTGTACATCCTGTTTTTTTCAAGATACACTCAATGTGAGTATACATATTTAGAAAGACTTGAAAAGGTTGTTTTCAAGAGAGACTTAATTGCTGAAGTGGCTTCTGTGTCCAAAGCCATTATTTACTATTTATTATTTTCTCTTTTCAAAAAGGTTGTATCTAAAACTTTGCCTGTTATAACCCAAAAGAAACCTGCTCGTTAAAACCAACAGAGCTGGGCAACAGTGGCTCATTCCTATAATCCTAGTTTCTTAGGAAGCTGACAACTGAGGATCACAGTTCAAAGCCAGTCTGGGGAAGGAAAAGTAAATGGCTCTGACCTCCAAAAGTCAGAAGTAGAGGTGTGGGTCAAGTGGTAGAGCACTCGCTTTGAGCAGAAAAGCTCAGGAACAGCACTCAGGCCCTGGGTTCAAGGACCAGGACTGGAATAAAAAAAAAAAAAAAGTTGTTTGTTTAATGTCCATAGGATGATCCACAGCAAGCACCAAACCAAGTTCCTGAGGCCCTGGGTGTGAGAAAAATGGCCTTTTCTTATCCAAGTGTGTTGCTTTGGTCAGAAAGTAAAAGAACTGCTTTGGGACAAGGAAGGATTTTTGAAATATAAGGTTTTTGTCTTAGTTTTTTTCCTACATATTTCTTACTGTAAAGATACTGTACAGAGAGGTTACAGTTACACAAGTAATGAGCACATTTCCTATTAAGCATTGTTACTGCCTCCTTTGTTTTTCCCCGGCCATCCCTTTCCTTAATTGGTTTTTATAAGATGAAATTAAGCCATACCTCAGAAGACAAAACCTTAGATGGTTCAAGAAATAGCAGAGGGTGTAGGTATATTCTGAGAGTAAATGTATACCATTAATCTTATTTCAAAGTCACCTTACATAAACAACACATTTAACCCTGTGCAAACCAGCCAATCATGAGCAGATTATGAACTTGAGCTCAATCCAACAAGCAGAGTGGCGGGGCAGGGAAAAGCTGATAAAGAAGACAGAACAAGAAGACCTTCTTATCCTAAGGAGGTCAATTTCAGTAGTTCTAAAGAAATGTCATACTTTTGGGATTTTGAACCCCCAAAATTTCACAGTGGGGGAAAAAAACACCCAATGCTAAAGTTTTGATACTGGAATATCTAGAATCTCACATTTTGCTTTTCATAAAACTACTTAAAATCATTTCCCAGAACTACATTAGTACTGTCCAATAGTGATACAATCAAACCACAAAAATGATCTAAGCTTTTCTAGTAGTTGCATTTTTAAAAAGCAAAACAAATGATTTTATTAGTATATTGAACCTAATATACCAAAAACATCATTTCAACTGTTCAACCTAAAAACATTAATAAGGAATTGGTTCAAAGAATTGTAAGGTATATTAAGTAGGTAGGTTTCATTGGGTAGCCGATGAAGAGAACACCGTGTGCTATTCAGGCAGGAAAAGAAGTTTATTACCTAACTGCTGTCCCTGCCTGGGGTGACCCACCCCTGAGCCAGGACTTATCTAGGCCAATGACAGGAAGAGGTGTGGCCACACAGGATCCGAATGTGACCTCAGGGCCTGGGACCCTTCTTTGGTCAGAAGGGAGGCCTGTGACCAGAGGTGGCCCAGGATGTGACTCAGCAGGAGGGGGAGGTGGCTGCGTCCAGGTGTGCCGGTTACCGAGGTAACAGGCCGGCTGGAGGCTTAGCCAGGAGGGAGGGAGGTGCATGCACAGGGCCGGCATGACCCAGGCAGACCTTACAAGAATGACTTGTGCAAAAAGGTATCACTCACACTAAAACTTCAAAGTCTGGAGCATATCTTCTGCTTGCAGCTCATGTGACCACTTCAAGTACTTCAGAGCCCGTGGCAGTGGACACAGTGCCTTAGATACCACAGGCCTCTCCCACCGTGAAACTTGGGGAGGGAAAGGAGGCAGCAAACACCATCCCAACACCACCTCTCAGTTCTTTCTGATGAGGGGGAAGCAAAGAAAGGGATGACATTATCCAAACTTTCTCTGTACAACACCTTAATAGTAACAGTAAAATTGTACTTGAATTTTTTTTAAAGAACAATGAAACCTCTGGAACTCCAATAGGTTTTACAATACAGATCTATTTTCTAATTATCACTCTGTAATCTTAAAAGTTACTGTGATCCCTTACCTCCCTAGTCGCCTAGCCTCTGACAGCATGAGGAACTAAAAATAAGTCTTTTAGGACAAAGATTTACAGAGAAGGGGGGGAGGGAAAAGAAAGGGGGGAAGAAGGAAGGGGGGAGGAGGCAAAAAGAAAAAGGAAGGAAGTAGAAAGAACAAAGTTGGGCACTGGTGGCTCACACCTGTAATCCTAGCTACTCAGGAAGCTGAGATCTGAGGATTGTGGTTCAAAGCCAGCCCAGGCAGCAAAGTCTCAGTAAGATTCTTTTTTTTTTTTTGGGGGGGGGGGTCCAGTCGTGGGGCCTGAACTCTGGACCTGGTCACTGTCCCTCAGCTCTTCAGCTCAAGGCTAGCGCTCTACCACTTGAGCCACAGCGCCACTTCTGGCTTTTTTCTTTTTGCTTATGTGGTGCTGAGGAATCAAACCCAGGGCCTCAGGCATGCAAGGCAAGCATTCTACCACTGAGCCACCTTCCCAGCCCCCCCCAGTAAGATTCTTATCACCAATTAATCACTCAAAAACTGAAAGTGGTACAGTGTCTTACACGGTCCAGCATTAGCCTTAAGCAAAAGAGCTCAGGGACACTGGAACAGCACCCAGGACCTGAGTTTAAGACCCACAACCGACCAAAAGCAAGAACAAAACAAAAAGAAATGGAGAAAACCAGAAAGCCTCACTGCAAGCTGTTCAGTCACTAACCACAACCCATTTCCTTTCTCTACTTCTCCATCTCTGGCCACTCACCTCCTCTGCAAAGAAATCTACAGGGATTTCCTGAAAGTCAGGGCAGCAGGCAATGGAAAACCCATGTTTCCTCACAGATCTAGCATGGGAGTTCCCACCAGCCCACAGAGCACCAACAGAATGACAGGAAATACAAAGACAAGGTATTCTAGGACAAATGGCTTTTGCCATTGGTTAGTTTCCATCCAACATGTTAACTTATGTACACAATGCATCTGATCAAGGCCATTCCTTCCGTCATTCTTCTTCTCTTTCCTTACAATGTTTTTCAAGGCAAGTTGTTTTGCTTATAAAGGTTTTGTTAGATAAAAGCTTTGGATCAAGCCGGGCATTGGTGGCTCATGCCTGTCATCCTAGCTACTCAGGAGGGTGAGATCTGAGGATCACAGTTCAAAGCCAGGCTAGGCAGGAAAGTCAACAAGACTCTTATCTCCAATAAACTACCAGAGAACCGGAAGTGGTACTGTGGCTCAAGTGGCAGAGTGTTCACTTTGAGCTGGAGAGCTCAGGGACAGCACTCAGGCCCAGAGTTCAAGCCCCATGACCGACAAAAAAAAAAAAAAAAACTTTGGATCAGGCTTGAGGTAGTGGGAAGGGACTCCAACACACTTTAGTTCTCTTCTGTTGCCCAAGCTGTGGAAGTAGAGCTATGTGATTTTTTTATTATTACTCAATGTATATTTATCCTAATATTTTTTCATGACAACTGAGTCCTAAACTGTTTATATACATGTAATTATAGAATAGAGTCACCTGTAGTCAATGGCTAATAATAAAAGGTAATAATAGAAAAAAAGAAAGTTGTTTGTAATTCTAACTACTAACCACCCTGCACTTTCTTTTTAACAGATTCACTGGATTTTTATTTTAACTGAAATATCGTCCTTTTCCCTCAAGATGACAAACAGTTCATTCTTCTGTCCCATTTACAGAGATCTAGAGCCATTTACATATTTCTTTTATTTAGTTTTCCTTGTTGGAATTATTGGAAGTTGTTTTGCAACCTGGGCTTTTATACAGAACACTACAAACCACAAGTGTGTAAGCATCTACTTAATCAATCTTCTTACTGCTGATTTCCTGCTCACGCTGGCTTTACCAGTGAAGATTGTGGTTGACCTGGGTGTGGCACCCTGGAAGCTGAAGATATTCCACTGTCAAGTAACAGCCTGCCTTATCTACATCAATATGTACTTGTCGATCATCTTCTTGGCCTTCGTCAGCATCGATCGCTGTCTACAGTTGATACGCAGCTGCAAGATCTACCGAATACAAGAACCTGGATTTGCCAAAATGATATCGACTGTGGTGTGGCTCATGGTCCTTCTGATAATGGTGCCCAACATGGTGATCCCCATCAAGGACATCAAGGAAGAGGCAGAGGTGGGCTGCATGGACTTTAAAAAGGAGTTTGGAAGAAACTGGCATTTGCTGACAAATTTCTTATGTGTAGCAATATTTTTAAACTTCTCAGTCATCATTTTAATATCCAACTGCCTTGTAATTCGACAACTCTATAGAAACAAAGACAACGAAAGCTATCCGAATGTGAAAAGAGCCCTTATAAACATACTTTTAGTGACCACTGCCTACATTATTTGCTTTGTTCCTTACCACATCGTTCGCATCCCATACACCCTCAGCCAGACAGAATTCATAACAGACTGCTCAGCCAGGATTTCACTCTTCAAAGCCAAGGAGGCCACACTGCTCCTCGCTGTGTCCAACCTCTGCTTTGACCCTATCCTATACTACCATCTCTCGAAAGCATTCCGATTAAAGGTGACGGAGACTTTTGCTTCACCAAAGGAGACTAAGGCTCAAAAAGGAAAGTCAAAATGGGAAGACAACGCATAAATTATGGGCCTTTTCATGCTTTCATTTCTTGGCGTACTATACCATAAAGTTACTTCAAGTTTTCAAAGAGAAATAAAAAGAATCTTGGCAACAAAACATTACAGCTAGCCAGCCAATGCGCTGGTCTCTGCAGAAACCCTTTTTCTCAATGCAGGCAAGGGCTGTGCTCTTTGGGAGATGGGGGAGCTGCAGTAGGGCTGGGCTCTGGGTAGTGCCAACCCTCAGCCCCTGCTCATGGAGGTGGGGAGCTGCAGTAGGGTTGTGCTCTGGGTAGTGCCAACCCTCAGCTCCTGCTCATGGAGGTGGGGATCTGCAGTAGGGTTGTGCTCTGGGTAGTGCCAACCCTCAGCCCCTGCTCATGGAGGTGGGGATCTGCAGTAGGGTTACACTCTGGGTAGTGCCAACCCTCAGCTCCTGGTCATGGAGGTGGGGAGCTGCAGTAGGGTTGGGCTCTGGGTAGTGCCAAC